TCTGCTGAGCAGGGAGCCTGACTTGGGGCTCAATCCGAGGACGCTGAGATCATGACCTGAGCCGAAAGCAGATGCTTAACAGACTGAGCCACCCAGGTGCCCCCAGAATATTTTAAACATAACAGTAACAACTACAACATACTGGAATCTATAAGATACAGCTAAAACAGTACTCATGTAGAAATGTTTTTGTCCTTAATAAAAAATTACAATAAGTAAGCATACAGCTCAAGAAATTAGACAAAGAGGGCGCCTGGGTGGATCAGTTGGTTAAGTGACTGCCTTCGGCTCAGGTCATGATCCTGGAGTCCCGGGATCGAGTCCCGCATCGGGCTCCCTGCTCAGCAGGGAGTCTGCTTCTCCCTCTGACCCTCCCCCCTCTCATGTACTCTCTCTCTCTCTCTCATTCTCACTCTCTCAAAATAAATAATAAAGAAATCTTTAAAAAAATAAAAAAAAGAAATTAGACAAAGAATAAAATAAACCAAAGAGGGGCAGAATAAATAAATTAATAGAAATAATCAGAAATTAAGTTAGAAAATAAACACTGTCAAACTACTAGATTAAATGGGAAAAGATGAATGCTTCTTTGTTTTTTTTTTAAAGATTTTATTTATTTTTTAAGTAATCGCTACACCCAATATGGGGCATGAACCTACAATCCGGAGATCAAGAGTCCTATGCTTTACCGACTGAGTCAGCCAGGCGCCCCTGGATGCTTCTTTAACATGATAAAATATGAGGCATCTGGGTTGCTCAGTCTGTTAAGCGTCTGCCTTCGGCTCAAGTCACGATCCCAGGGTCCTGGGATTGAGCCTGGACGGGGGCTCTTCTGCTCTTCCCTCCCCCTGCTCCCCCTGCCACCTGCTCATGCTCTCTCACTGCCTTTGTCTCTCTTTCAAAAAAATAAATAAAATCTTTCATATGTATTAATATATATAATAAAATACATTTATGTTAGCCAAAAAGTCAACATCAAGATTTATAGGGAAATAAAGATACTCCCATTACAGTAAAGAATTTTAAAATGTGAACTGGTGTATGTGTCAACATGGGCCTTGCCTCTCGGCTGCCCGCTGGACGATGTGTGCTCCCTCCTCAATCTGCAGCCAGCAGTAAGCATCCCTCACCTCACATGTTCTGCTTATGAGCCACCTGCCAGTTCCCAGCCTTTCCCATGGTACAACAAAGGGCCTAGATAATATTTTGTTAAGACCCTCTTGCAAGGCTCCTACGCCTTGCCCTAGTTCATACTAATTAAAACTCCCATTAGCACATGAGAAGTACCACCAGAACCCAGGCAGCCGGACACAGCCAGTGAAACTACAGCTTTCTTCTAGAGTTTCTTCTGATATTTCTCTCTTTAGAGGAGAAGAAAAGATATGCACTATTATCTAACTAGTTCTAGATGTTCCAACTTAATGACAGAAGACACTCTCTAGAACATTCCCTGTCTAAGGGACGAAAACAATCAAGAGAAGTTAAAACTATCATTATTTGAATTCAACATGATCTCTACCTAGAAAAATGAAGAAAAGCAACTGAAAAAAAAAATAAAGTATTATAAACAGTAAGTTAATTCAGAAGGAAGCTGGATACAGTCCTGAAGCCCTAACAGAGCACCAGGCTTCTTGAGGACCTGTCAGGAATCTCGTGGCAAGTCCACTCTGTCAGGTCCCTTGTGTCACAGAGGGTGTGGTGAATAATGCACTCTGGAAGAAACACTTATTCTGTATTTGGGTTTGCTTTCCCTGCAGGTTATGCCTCCACTTTACCATTCTTGGAACTTCTGACTTTGCATAACACAGGGTGGTCCAGATAAAATTGTCTCCAACCAAGAAACTCACTTCCTGGGGAGAGAAATGAGACAGTTGGCAAGCCATGGGCCATTATCATATTTCCCATCCACCAGAAGCAGCTGGCCTTACAGAACAATGAAATGGTGTTCTGAAAACAGATCTAGCAGTATCCAGGAGACCGCACCTGTGAAGCTGGGACACTTTCTTGTAGAAAGTGATATGTGATCCCAAACAGTGACCAAAATGCAGTGTCAACTCTCCCTCGGCCAATACAAAGGTCCAGAAACCAAGGACTGGGGGTGGGGGCGGGGGGGGTGGGGGGGTGGAGGGTGGCCGCTCTCACTCTTACTTTTCTCTTTAAAAATATTTGCTTCCCAATACCAAAGTCACTCATGCTCTGTAGACATAATGGTCCAAGGTGAGGTGTCACCAGGGAACCTAATAAGGGTTCCACCTGGCCATTTGGGACTCCTCCCCCCATTAGGGCAATGGCATGAAAGGGTGTTCCTGTGCTAGCCTGCTACCCTGATTACGAAGGGGAAGTGGGGTTGTTACTCTCTGATAGGGCCTGGGAGGGAGGTTGTTGCCTCCTTGTACCACCACACCCAGTGGCACAAATTAACAGAAAACCATCACAATCCATATAAATGTACTAACTTTCCTCTTCCACTATTGTATACATCAGAGTTTGGTGGGAGCTAAGTCTACCAATTTGTTCGAGGTTTCAGAATAGTGAGAACTAACCCTGGGCGACCGAGAAATATAGGAGGAATGGGCAGCACGTTGCAACAGTGAATTCTGAAACTTAGAAGGAACGTTTAAGGTGTGATGTCACATCCGTTTTATCTGGATGTGGTTTGATGTTGCCTCCTTTTAGGACACCAAAGTACATCTGTGGCTGTGATAAGTAGAGAGGTGGAACAAAGTAACGCATGGGGGTGCCCAGGGCTTAGTTCTGGGCCCTCTTCTGTCTACATGCTGCACCTAAGCAACCGCATCCAGTCCCATAGCTTTAAATAACTCCTGGTTATTAACTCCAAAACAGACATGTCCAGCTTGAGCCTCGCCTACAAATCCAGACTATATATCCACCTGCCTCCTTGATCAGCCCTTTGGAGGCCTCATAAGGATCTCAAATCAACATGTCCAAGGCAAAACTACTGATTTCTGGCTATCAGCATCCACTTAGCTGCTCCTGCTACAGTCTCCCTCTTTTTTAAATAAATGGCCCCATAAGCCACCCAGTTGCTCAAAACAAAAATCTAAAGCTACCCTTGTCCAATATGGTAGCCCTTAACCACATGTGGCTATTGAAATTTAAATTTATTATTATTTTTAAAGATTTTATTTATTTATTTGACAGAGAGAGACAGCGACAGAGGGAACACAAGCAGGGGGAGTAGGAGAAGGAGAAGCAGGCTTCCTGAGGAGCAGGGAGCGGGATGCGGGGCTCGATCCCAGGACTCTGGGATCATGACCAGAGCCGAAGGCAGATGCTTAACAACTGAGCCACCCAGGCGCCTCTAAATTTAAATTTAAGTTAATTAAAATTAAATTAAAATTTCGGGTTTGCAGTTGTAGTAGCCATATTTCAAGTGCTCAGTAGCCAGTAGCTACCATATTGGGCAGTCAGATACAGAGCATTTCCACGATCACAGAGTGTTTTGTTGGACAGTGCTTCTCTAGCAAGGTTGCCAGTGATTCCTCTTTCCCTCACCGCCACATGTAATCCATTAACAAATCCTATGGATTTTATCTCCAAAACATTCCCTGAATCAATCCATCTCTCTCCAACCCATTCCTACCACCCTGGTCTATGCCACCATCACCTTCCACCTGGACTGCTGAACTCACTTCTTGGTTGCCCTAGTTCCAATCTTCCCCACCTATAACCATTTCCCCTATAGCAGACAGAATAATTTGTTTTTCAGAACCGAAAATCAGAGATCATGCCTTGCCCCTGCTACAATTCTTCCAATGACTTCTGTGGCAGAGACTGTAGTTTTACCTTTATGTCCTTTCTTTCCTTCTGCCTCAATGACAGAACCTCTGAAGTTTAGGTGAGCACACAGAAGCCCAAAATAAAGAACACATTTTCCAGAGTCCCTCCTTGCACTTAGGTGTGGTCATGTGACTGAGTTCTGACCAGAGAGAGCCAATGAGGTTGTGTGCAGTCTCCTGGCATGTCTTTAAAAAGAGCAGGCTCCTCCTGCTGCTGTAACAGGCATGATGGCTGAAGCTGGAATAGATCACAAAGGTGAACTTGGGAGTGGAGGTAATGCCCTGTGAGCAACAAGATAGAAGGAGCCTGGTTCCCTGAGATAGTGGAGAAACCCACCAGCCCTGAAACGCCTACCTAGATTTTTACATGAGAGAGAAATAAACTTCATTTTGTTTAAGCCCCAATTACTTGAGGTTTTCTGTCATAGTAGGACCTAATTCTAACTAATACAGCTTTCCATCACACTTAGAAGAAAACCCAAACTCCTTACGAAAGCCTGGAAGGTTCTACACGATCGGTTCCCACTCCAGTACAATCCCCTCCATTCTCCCCTCACTCACCATGCTCCAGTCACTCTGGCTTTCTTTTTTGCTGCTTCAAAACACCAAGTTTCTTCATGCTCTAGGGACTTTGCACTTGCTTTTCCCTCCGTTTGGGTTGCTCCTCCTCAGATCTTCTCATGGCTGACTCCTTTTAGTTATTCAGGTCTCACCTTAAATATCACTGAGAGACATCATTAGAGATGGTTACCCTGACCAATCTGAAATACCCAGCAAGTCACTCTCCTTTACAATACCTTCTTTTAATTCTCTGCATAGGACTTATCACTAACTGATGATTCTCTCTTTTATCGTCTGCCTCCCCCTCCTAGCTTGTAAGCTCCACGAGGATAGGACTTTTTTTTTTTTTTTAAGATTTTATTTATTTATTTGACAGAGAGAGACACAGCGAGAGAGGGAACACAAGCAGGGGGAGTGGGAGAGGGAGAAGCAGGCTTCCCGCGGAGCAGGGAGCCCGATGTGGGGCTCCATCCCAGGACCCTGGGATCATGACCTGA